GGCTGGGGATGGGGTCGGCTCCCAGGCGCGGGTGGAGACTCAACCGGAAGCCGGGCTGCCTGTGCCCGATAGGGGGCGGTAGGGGCCTGAGACACCGAGGCAGGCCCCTCCCTCTACAGGCCGCCCCAGGACACGGGAGGCCTGGGGGGAGCGCTGCCGTCTACACCTTCCACGTGAGCTGGCAGAAGCAGGAGAGAGCAGCCACTTCCAAACAGCAGTGATTCTTCCCAGTCTCCTGGGAGCGGGGCTCAGGCCAGGGTGGGATGCAGGAGGAAATGGGGCGCTCCTGAATCAGGATGGGGGGCGGGTCAGTGCAGCCCCCAGGGATCTGACAGCTCGGTCTCCCCCCATGAGCTCCCCAGTGTCCTGGGAAAGAAACAAAGGAAGCCTATCTTAAGTTGCTGGGCTCTAGGTGCCCCCCACTAACCAATCCTGGAGGAGACCACCAGTACCCCCGTTCTCCACCCTCTCCATGCCCACCCCCACCCCCTCCTAACAGTCACACCATGATCCTGTTCTCTACACCCTGGCCCACCGCCCCCCTCTCCAGCCCACTGTACAGGGCCGCTGGGCACAGCTATGCCGGCTGCACCCTGCACAAGGCCCCTGTCCAGGGAGATCCCACCTGCACCCTAAGACTTTTGTATTTATTACAATTTCCCACATGTGGTTCGGAAGGGGTGCCGTTTTCCTATTCGCACAAAGGCGCCATAGGAGCACAGTGGGTTGCAGCCTGAGGACCATTCAGAGGGACCCTACCGTGCCACCTTTGGGGGCTCTCCTGCAAGTCAGTGAGGGGGTGACCGGCTGGATCTCACTGGGAGCCCCGACCCAGCTCCCTTCCTGCTAACCCCCACCCTGAGGCTGTCCCATAATACCAAGCGGGGAAAGGTAGGCAGGGGTGCCCCCATGAAGTCCCCACGGTCTGCCGTCCCCCAAGTCCTGGCGCTCCGGAAGCCGTACTGTATCTCTCTCCAAGGCCTGTCCAAGCACTAAGTGCATTTACAAATCTCTGAGAATGTTTTTTTTTTATACTAAAATTGACCATTATATTCTACTGTGAGAAGTGCAGTCTGCATCTGCACTATATTGTTTTAAAAACGAAGAGAAAGAAAAAAAGGAAAACACAGATGGTGTCTCAGCTGTCGGATCGCTCCGTGGCTCTCGCTCGCGTCCGTCCTGTCCTTCCCTTAGGGAAAACGGGCTGCCTCACAGTGGCTGGCCCGGCGCCCCGGGGAGGCAGGCGGGTGCTTTGCGCTGGGTGTGTCTGGTGTCAGGTATTTCGACGCACGGGCTGAGGACCCTGGGTCATGGCCAGTGCTTGGCCCCCAGAGCGGCAGAGAGAACCAAGCCCGGGCCCCTCTGGCTTGTTCCCTCGATGGCTGTGGTGGTCTGGGGGCATCCCCCCTCCATCGTCAACGTCCCTTTCCATCTCTTCCCCTGTGCCTGGCATGCTCCACTACGCCACCACCACCTGGGAAGTGCACTTGGGGACAGGCCAAAGTGGTGAGCAGCAGCCCTCTCCTGACCAACCCAGGGGCAGGGCAGGACACCCCAGCACACACCCACCCCCGCCTGGTGCCTGGGGGTCTGCACGAGCCCACACCTGCCTGTGCTGACTGTGTGCTGGGCACGTCACATAGTCAGCCTCCGTATCCACGGGTTCCACATCTGCAGGGTCAACAGGGTGTGGGTTCAAAATATTGCATTATAATGCAATAAAAATAATACCCCAAAATACAGTATAACTATTTACATGCCACGGAGCTGGCTAAGGTATTCGTAATCTAGAGATGACCGGAAGTCCTCGGGAGGGTGTGTATGTGAATACTGTGTCCTCCCATACAGAGGACCTGAGCACCCTTGGATTTGCCAGGGATCCTGGGACCAGTCCCCTGCCAATACTGCCAGACTGGCTAGGAATGGAAGGTGCTGTATTTGCACAGGGCCTGTATTTCCAGTTCTCAAACACAACGGGAGTTCAGGAGGAAGAAACTGAGACCTGGAGACATGAAGTGACCTGCCCAGGGTCACACAGCAAGTCCATGGAGAGTGGGGGTTCCAACCCCACAGCAGATTCCTCTTCCCAGCTCTTCTCCCCTGGCCTAGAGCCCCAGTCTGACACGGGCTTCCCCTCCCATGCAGAGCCCTGCCTGGGTGGCTAGCATGTAAGGGTCAAGGGGCAGAGGGGCCAGCCTGCAGTGGGTGTCCAGCTCCCCAAGTCTGGCAGCACCCCAGTCTATAGGTCAGGAGCTCAGGTCCTACAAGGTGACAGCTAGGAAGGTGCCAGCTCCATAGAGGGCCCCTGGGAACACTCACAAACGCATAAACTGCAGTTGAGAGTGCGCCCCCTTCACTGAGCCTAACCACCGCAGGTGAGAAAGCCCCGCCCACTTTACAGGGGCAGAGAACCTGAGAAACAGCCGCAGAGGGGGTAGGACGGGGCCAGGTGTTCTGGCATTGACCTCACGCCCCACTCCCCACGTCCACATGTAACTGAAGCCCACCTGGGGGGCACCCACAGCCCAGCAGGGTTAGCCTCCAGAGTGACCGAGGCTTAGGTTCCAATCCTGACGTGGCTACCAGAGTGACCTGAGCAGCCACAGCACAGGAAATGGAATTTAAGGAGACATGACCATATGACACCATGTGACCACCCGGAGAGCAGCAGGGCAGGGTCCAGGGCCAGGCTTAGGGCTGAGCGGTGGCCTGTGGTTCTGCTGTTCCCAGGGGCCACCCAAGCACCAATCTCATCTCTTGGTCACCCAGAATGTGGGACAACTCAACGCCAGGCCCACCCGGCCTGGGGCATGAGGCGAGGGGGAGGAGGGACTAGATCCCCTCACATTCAGGGATCTGGCCCAAGGACCCACCTATTGTCCAGGAAAAGCACCCTCGTCCTTTGCATATGGGATCTATGTGGGGCACGTGGCAGAAAGTCTGGGTCCAGGTCTGGCCCTGCAAAGCCAGCTGGGGCTCTAGGCCTGTGCATTGGCCAGGATCCCTCGCCCAAGGCCTCGGTTTCCCCATCTGGGAGTTGAGCTGGCTGATACAGGCCCTCCAGCGAATCGGTATTTAAGCACGCTGATCCCCTGCCCTTTACTTACACCACCTGTGTTAAAAGTTTTGCTATAGGGTACATGAGTTCACCAGAGACAGAAGGAAAGTGAGAACCCACCAGGGGGCTGGCCACACTGCAACCCTCCTCCATCCTCCTCTTGGGATTGCGGGCACACAAGCACAGGTGTGCATATTTTTCAAGACGCCAGGTTCTGAACTCAAACTGCGCAGTCAGCCACGTGCGAATCCAGCAGCCTTCACCACCACGCCTCCGGCTGGCCCTATACACTCGCCTCTGATGACCACAGTGCTAGGGGCAGGGTGGGTGACCAAAACAAGGGACGCTCCCTATTGTCATTACCGACAGCCCACACTCAGTGCAAGACCAGGGTCAATATCATTCAGCCCTCCTGCACTCAGCACACAGGCGACGGCCAGGCGGCAAAGCCCAGAGGAGTCGATCACCGTGCTCAACACCAGAGCTGAGGCTGGAGGACCAGAACCGGGAGCACCTGCATTAGAACCCAGGTCTGTCGGACTGGGCCCTAGCACCCGCCTATGGGGCTGTGCAGAAAACCACGGGCCACCCCCAAATGTAACCTTTAGGCTCCCTAGACATGGCCTTGGGTGCCACACCCCAGGTTGCATAGACGTCCTCCAGCCAGGGGACGGCAGAGGGAGGGCGGCCAGCTGGCGCAGCCTCTCCCCCAGCGCTGCCCCCCTTCCTCTGCCTCCCAGTCTCTGATCCGACCCCAGCAGCCTCTTCTCCCCTGTCTCCGGCTCTCACCCCTGTGGGCTGAGATACCCCACATGGCAGCCAGGTGTGTCCTGCTTGTAACCCCGACTATTTTCACTCCCCGTCACTGCAACTACTAGGTGCCCCCACCTTCCCCCAGAGACCCGCCGCCCGGAGGGTGTGAGCTCGGCGCGACTTTCGGGCAGAGGGACCCATACTGGCGGTCACTCACCCTCCCAGGGTGGCTCCGTGTTTTCTGCGCGTACTCTTGTCTTCTGATCATTTCTCCGTGGATGGAGAGAAGCAGAGACAAGTTTCAACTCCTAAACTTGACCTCAAAACAGCGACTTCGCGCAGCGCGGCTCAGCTCCCCGCGTTGCAACCGGGACCGCGCGTCAGGCTCTGCGCGCGCCCGCGGTCCACATGCGCGGCAGTGCGGGTGCGCCTCGCCACACCTGCCTTCTTAAAGGGCCCGCCCCCTGCTCCGCCCCCGCGCTGCCGGCCGGCAGGTGGGATCACTCAGCCTGACCGACCCAAGGCGTTATGTTTAAATTATCGCCGGCACCAGCGGGCCAGAGGGCAGAAAGTAGGGGAACTGTACCTAATGACCCCCCTTATGTGACCCTGGGGTACCTGGGAGACCTCGCCAAGCCTCAGTTTCCAGATCTGTCAAAGGGAGCGCTGGCACCTGAAGGATTGGGATGGCACCAGGTGACATGTGGACAGGGTGATAGGGCAGGTCAGTGCTGTCAGAGGGACCTCCCGGAGTGCAGAGGGGCCTAGTGACCGGAGGGTCGGACAGAACTGGGTCCAGGTATAAATATGAGGCCTGCGTGTTGGCCTTGGACAGGGACCGCCCCTCTCTGTGCAGCCTATTTCCCAACTGTCAAATGAGCTCAGAATGGACCATGCGGAGGTTAACTTAGGACACGGGGG